TATATATATATATATATATATATATATATATGTATATGTATATTGTAAAATATAATGTAATGCTAGATTATATATAAAATAAAATAAAAATAAGGCCGAGAAATTATATATATGTTTATTTTACTTATTACTTTTTGGTAACTCTTATGCCGTCGTAAAGGTTTCACACATTACTTTATCGTTTCCTTTGATTTTTATGATTGCTAATACAAGATCAATGAAAAGGATTTTGTGTTGTAAACTCTTTGCTCTCTACTTTTATCAAAGAAGAATTTGCACATTTTTCAAACTTAAAATACATTTAATTCATTATAAGAATCATTTACTTCATTTAATTGAAAATAATTGATAGATATATCTGCTGATAGCTATCTGTGACTATTTGCCAGGTGTCAATTTTTATAACTAATACGAAATAGATATGAAGTTTAAACTATATAACAAATTATTAACAGTGCATCAGATCTGGAATAAATTTAGTAGAACTAATTATGATTACATATATTTTATTCTAATGAAATAAAATGTTGTAATTGTCTGCAAATGGAAGTGCAGAGTATGGTATACAAAATGTCAAAAATCTTATCAATTTTTTAAATTCTGGTTTATAAACGCTTGGTTACTTTCTTCTCTTTGTAATTGCATTTGCACTGCTCAATATTTATTCTAATTTATTGACTTTCCGAGTTAGTGCGAAATATAAAAACTTAAATAATCTTATTCTATGGATGACATTCACATCACTTGTCACTTGATAAATGACTTAAATGACATATTTTGTGATATTTCTATAATTATTAAAAATGTTTGCACATCACTCTTTTTCTTACACGTAATTTTTTTTGCATATAAAAAAGTAAACAATAGCATTAAAGGGAAAAATTGTACGATAGTATTCATCAGTTGCGAATCTTTATTTCTAATATTTTGCTTTTTACATATACTTAAGAAAGGATAAAAAGAATATATTGATGAGAATGAAAATTTTTTAAATGATTATCTGAAGATGTGGTTGTTCACTGAGCAGATGCTTTCTGCGAGGCAAACGATTGAGTATTCGCAGCATCTGCTCATTAGCCATTAGCTCTTTAACATATAGCCAGCGATTGAATGGAAGAATAAATGACCAATGGTAGTTTTGATTAAAAAACATCTTCAAGATGCAATATAATCAGTGCAGTACAGGACACTTATTTTGTTTTCTCCGAACTTTACTTTTGTATTCTTCCATTTTTTGTTTTTGGACAGCTTTCACTTTTTCATACATATGTCACCTGTATGACAGATAATATTACAATAAAATTAAGACGTTAGATTTGGGACTTGTTTTGCGGTATGTTCGCCAAGTGTGATATTATTAATTTAGTTGATGCAAAATTAGGATGTCCACCTGTTGTATTTTCTGGCAATGCAAATATGAATCATTTTTGACTTTTTTGTAGTTATACTTTTTTATCTTCCACTTCTGTAATCTAATCTTTCATAACTGCAAATTCTATCTGTTGATTAGAGAAACATTGTTGAAAAATATAGTTATTAATGTTTAGTAATTCACAGCTGACTTAATAATGGAATTACTATTTATATATTAATCGAGTTCTTACAACTTACATTTTATTTTCATGTGACTGCTAACAAATTTTTCTCGTAATTAGTCCACAACAAGAAATTATTAATCGGAAACCGAGGAAAAAACTTTGGTGATTTGCAGCTCGTGATTTATAATTTCAAAATTCAGTTAGCCAATAAAGTCACAGAAAACAGTACGCATTTTAATGGCAAAAAACTATGCATTGATTCATATTTTGATCGCCTGATTCATTTCAGAATGCATCATTTTTCAATGGAATATTCATTTTATTGCTAGAGACAGTGAAAAATTGTCATTCTTCAATCTTCTCATTTATTTTCCTTAGCAATAATAATAACTAATTTGAAGTGATAATTTGAAGAGCATTGGGTTGTAAAAATAAAAGTTGAAAATGAATGAGCGATTTTATATGAGCAATTAATTCAGTATAGCTTTAAAATGTTATAGCTTTAATCATTTAAACAGTGTTGTGTTCCAGCATTCTACAGAGCTTTCTCTTTGCTTTTGAAGCCAAAATATGGTTTTTAAAACAAATTGTTATATACCGAATATCAAAAGTGCTCTATTAAATGCTACGTGAATGCTACGTTGTTTCTTTTATGTTGAAAAAAGTAATTAATTACTTGCTATCTCCCGTAAATGTTCAGTTTAAATCAAAATATATATATATATATATATCAAAAATTATCATTTTGCACTTATATTTTCAAATTGCAACTTTTTGGCATTGCTAGCATCATCTATTGATGTTTAATACATATCGTTTTTTCTTTATAGAAAAGAAAAATTGACTGAAATATGTGCAGTCATTTTTATTTTTTAGCGTTTAACTAGAATTTTTTCGATTTTATCAGCTTGCACTTTAAAACATTCAAAAATTATTAATGTAAGCTGCAAATAAAGTAGAGAAAAATCATTAACTTTTCATTAATTTTTACTTACACTTTTGTTAATGTGAGATCTGACTTATTCTCAAAGATTTTGAGTTTTTGAAACTAAATTATTAGTCCAATTTATATTAGATTTTATCGGTATTGTTTATTATGTAATTGCATTATGAGTAGTAAATAAAAGTTAATATTATTCTATTGTTAATTATAATTTGAATAATCAAATATTTGATCAAGAAGAAAACTACACAATAACATTAATTTATGAGCATTGGAATAATAAGTTAGTATGACATTACTGCCCCTCGTTCGTTCATCTCAAATTAATGCATGATAAGAAAAAACTCAGAATGAAATATCTTACAGGTAAAACAGTCATGTATTTTGTTCTGTTACATTTATATTTGAACAATGATTGAATTATTTTGAAACTTCTCCAACTATGAAAAAATTATTATAGTAGTCAGCGAGCTCCATACTTCGCACAATGACTGTTCTTACTGAATATATTTGTGAATCAAAAGTGATAAATCTTATAATGATGTGATGAGTTGGTTAGTTATCTTTCGTATTTGTTCATATATGCAAGACTAACGTCTCACATTGCTGATAGTTTTTTCAAAAGTCATTAAGTTTTATGAGTTATTTATTCAATCATATGTGCTTCATTATGCTGCCTGTTATTGACTGACTGTCTTTTATCTTTTTTTGTGCCATTGCTTATACTACTTTCTAGTCTCTAATCCCAACATACAAAACTGTGTGATAAATTTGTAAATAAAATTATCGTATTCGTGAGTATAATTTCTATAGTATAGACAACTGAATGAGCTAAAACAAACTAGGTGAAAGTGGATTTGAGTGTATAATCACATACTGAAAAGCTTTCCATTAAAAGCGTAATTACTATATAAATAACATTACAAGCAATGAAATAAATAATTGATAAGAGTTGAAATCATTTATGGGCCTGCTTAATTTGAAATTTAGCTGTATTGAACTACTTATTATGCATCTTTAAATGTCCACGTCAGTGAATTGTTCATATACTATTTATCAAAGTAAATAAAAAAAGTTTTTTTTCTGCTTTTATACAATAAAAATCAGGCTATTTATTTGCATGCATCATTTTGAAATTAATGATTTAGGCAGATTAAATGAATAATATTATGGCTAGAAAAGCCAAATGTTCGTTCATTTACTTCATTTGTTTATTAATGAATAGCGAGTGTTTGGTACGGATTCAAAATAATAATACCAGTTTTATGGAATACTAACCAAAAACTTAAATTTATAAACTTTGGTTAGTTACTTTGGTTATTATGCAAGCAATAAAAATTACTGTTCATAACGATGGTAGTAATAATTATCGTAGCAACAACGATTTTTTGTTAGTGCCCTTAAATAAATAACAAGTAAAAAGTAATAATAAAAACTGAAAAAAATATTAGACATAGATTGATATTATCTTATACAGACCACTGCAATAACAAAGCACTAATAATAATTATGACTAAAGAAGGTACGGTTATGAGAGAGATGACAGAGACTTGTTAGAATTGCAGAAAAATGTGATAATAGGTTGTGAGAGAAAATGACTGAGAGTAAAGGAGGTAAACAAATATAAGTCTGGGTTTGACCGACGATAAAGTTAGGACATCTTACGATTCCTGAAGGAACCACCGAGTTGTCACATCGCTATCTTACACTATCGTTGGCATTAGTGGTTTGTCGAGAGATTATCCATGTTTTAGGGCAAATAAACTGTGAAGCTTTGGGTTCGATGTTGGCAAGGGAGCAAGTCGTCGATCTTGCTGAGAGATTTTCAACGGTTAATATTTGCATATTTTTGTTTTTTATCCATGAATGTATCGTTTATTTTATCGAAGCAGAAAAAACAATTTAAACTTTAATATCACAAATTATGCAAGTAATATCTTAGTAGAAATGTGATTTGAATAACAAGTAATCTTTCGTTGATTTAGAATATGTTTTTAGATTGATGAAAATGGTCATGGCACATTACTTGTCACAGATGTGCAAGAAGCATTAAAAATTGTTGGCATTGATCTTCCTGGTTTTCAGGTTAATTTTTTCTTTTTTTTTCAACTTTCTAAAATATTTCAAAAATATATTTGATCCGTAATGCTAATAAATGCTGATAAGATTTTAAATTTATCGATATGCTTAAGTGTTTTATCTATTATTTGTAGTTTCGCGAATTAATAAAACGTTATGGTAGTGCTAAACATCTGACATTCGATGACTTTGAAATTTTATTTACTGAATTGCGAAGAGCAAGAGATCAAGAAGTCAATGAATGGAAGCAACGAATTGGCTCCGTTACTGGTGCTTATACTGTGAAAGGATTGTCGGAACAAAGTAACGAAGAAATTGTGCATACTATTCGAGTTGAAGTTTGTTTTCTCTCTGAATTTAATTGCAATTATTTTATTTATGGTTTGTTTAATCTAAGACAAATATTATTTTTTCTGCATATTTAAAATTTCTTTAGAAGAATTTATTTGATTTCAGGAAGAGGTCGCTTTCTCTAACTGGATCAACAGTCATTTGTATAATGATACCGATTTGAAATTTTTGCTTCCTGTAAAAACCGATGGACAAGATCTTTACGATAAAGTACAAGATGGATTGATCATATGGTGCCTTCTCACTTGATTTTATGAACTTTTTTGAAGTTGTTAAAATTGTTAATTTTGCTTATTGAAGGAGCGAATTTTCTCATATACAAATGAAAGTTAATTAGCGAAAGTTTTGATTGCTTCATGATTGTGGTTAAATTGTAATCATTTGACGTTGTCATGCTTTTTTTTTGCAGCAAACTCATCAACTTGGCTGTACCTGATACTATTGATGAAAGGGCTATTAATAAGAAACAATTGAATACCTATACAAAACTGGAAAACTTGACATTAGCTTTAATGTCTGCGCAAGCTATTGGATGTAATATCGTTAATATAGACGGTGATGATCTTAGTAAAGGCAGGCCTCATCTTGTACTTGGTCTTTTATGGCAAATAATCCGGGTAACATAAAGATTTTCATACAGAAAATACTAGAACATTGGCATAATAATTTAAAAAACTATCACTTTTCGATGCTGTTTTTTTTTAAGCAAAGAAGTAACTTGATGGTTTGAACTAGATAAAGCTTTATTTTTATGAGACAAAAGAATCAAATATAAATACATATACACTTGTGTATTAGATTTGATTGAAATTGCAGATTGGTTTGTTCAACCAAATTGATTTGAGACATGTACCTGGACTATTTCGGTTATTGCAAGAAGGTGAAACATTAGATGATTTGCGTAAGCTTTCACCGGAGCAAATCTTAATACGTTGGGTCAATCATCAGTTAGCAAAGGTTGCTTCATATTCATGTTTTCGACAGTATCTGACCATTTCATTTTGTCTGTGAAAAAATAGTAATATAAGCAACTTTGTACTGCTGAATGAGTCTGTAGTTTTTAGAATTACAATTAATTCAAACGTAAAAAAACTCTCAAGATGTTTCTAGTAAAGTTTAGTTTATTGTGATCATCAGTCTATGTTATCTTTTTGAAGCACTTCAAATTTATTTGCTCTTGATAAAATGAGAATTTTGACTGCAAATATAATTTTTAGAATGAAGGAAAGTTACGCATTTATGGTCACATGTTTTATTGCTAACATGAAGATTTAATTGCATCACCACTTATATATTTAGATATTTTAAGGCAGGAGTGAGTCGAAGATTGATAAATTTCACCACAGATGTTACTGATTCGGAAATTTACACTTATTTGCTTAATGAAATTGCTCCAAAATCTGCTAACGTGTCGCTTTATCCTCTCTCTGTCACAGTATGTTTTTAATTTATCGGTTCTCTGCGTGTAACATGTTACAAACATGTATCACCAAAAAATCTTAACTTTGATATAAGTCATTTAATACATGTAATTCTTTTAACAGTTCATTAGCAAAACTATTTTTCATTGGTTTAGTTTTTTAATGAATGACGTTTACAGTCAGGTTTTTGTTATTTTAAATTTTATTTTTCGGTCCTTTTCGCGCAGTCGGTGTCAGTAACAATGTTTCAAAATAATATGCGTAAAAAAATTGGTGTATACTTAGATGTGGCATTCATAAATAAGAAATTATTTCAAGACTATGTGGTCAAAAAATAAGTGCTGTTACGGCTTAAAGCTCGCAAATAATGTTAAAAAGTCAATTATTAAAAATGATAGCACAGTAAGTGCTAGTCAATTCTTTTTAGTGGTTATGTCATCTCATCTTTATTAACTTTTTCACTGAATTCTTAAAAAAATCGCAGTTCACTTTTATAGGGTACTGTACAAAGAGCTGCTGCTATGCTGAATGAAGCGGAAAAAATTGATTGTCGTGAATTCGTTGCCCCATACGATGTTGTTTCAGGAAATTACAAGTTAAATCTCGCATTTGTAGCAAATCTTTTCAACAAATATCCTGGACTTCCTGAGCCAGGAACAGATGAATTTGGTTTGTATTATTTCAGTTTTCTTGTGTTTGGTATTATTGAAGGAAATTGGTAAAGATTTCTATCCATATGAAATGTCTGCAATTTTACTTGCTAAGATACTATCGGAAGTCAATTTTAGTTTTCCAGAAATTTATTCAGTCTGATAGTGATATTTTCATTGCACAAATTGTATCTTAATGGTTACGATTTTCGATGAAAACTTCAGTCTTTCATATTTTCTGGAAAAATGCTTGTCTCAAAAATTTCTATTATTTTATGAATAACTCAAATTTTTTAGAAATCAATGATGTTGAAGAAACACGTGAAGAAAAAACATATAGGAACTGGATGAATAGTATGGGTGTTCATCCTTACGTTAATTGGCTTTATAGTGATCTCTCAAGTGGTATTATTATTTTCCAAGTTAGTTTCTACAAGCATTACAGAAACTCTGTGAATGCTTTTTTTCTCTCTCTTGATAGGGTGTATTCTTTAAAAATACTTAGGTAAAAACAAGATAGGTTTCTTTTTTTACATTATTAAAATAGCAGTCAATTTTGTCTGTGATTATGGTTCTTTTTTTCAGCTTTACGACATAATTCGGTTTGGTATGGTAAACTGGAAACGAGTAGTTAAAGAATATTCAAAATTAAGAGGTATGATGGATCAAATTCAAAATTGCAATTATGCAGTGGAGCTCGGTAAACAGCTACGATTTTCACTGGTAGGGATCCAGGGTAAAGATATTTACGATGGCAACCAAACACTCACGCTTGGTTAGTTCAGTTTAAGTTTAATGTTTCGGATTTATTTTCATGAAACATCTACTCTCTTACCGAAAATTGCCAGAAAAATATCTCCTTTAACTGATGTGGAGATCTTTCGAAGATCTTTATAGCTAAGTGTTAAAGCTTCTTCCCATATTGCTGTAGAAATCTCGACTTTAAGCTTTGGTCTGGCAGTTGATGCGTGCTTACACGTTAACTATATTGGCCCAGTGTACACAAAGTGGTGATTCCTTGGCAACTGATAAGGAGATTATTGCTTGGGTAAACAAGAAAGTAAGCATTATGAACAGCGTGTCTGTATCTGCATAGCATTAGCACAAAACCATTTTTGAAATTTATTTGCATTACTTGTACTTTGTTTTTATTATCAAATTAATTCAGTTTTATACCAACGGGGCATATGTAACCGCTCACTCTAATTACAGTTAGCATCTTCTAATAGCAAAAAGTCGATTAAGAGCTTCCAAGACCCTACAATATCCGACGCCTGCGTAGTGCTAGACCTTATTGAAGCGATCAAACCAGGCACTATTGATTACTCTTTGGTGCAAATAGGCAGTGTAGAGGTTATTTTTTTTTTCATTTGTGAAACTGATAATGAATATTCTTCTGTTCTAATGCAGAACACGAAGTGCAACCGATCTATTTACAACTTTGTAATTCATGTTTTCTCAAGGTAACTCATTTAATTTTTCAGGCTAATCTAGAGAATGCAAAATATGCGATCACATCAGGACGTAAAATTGGTGCAAAGATTTACGCTTTGCCGGAAGATATTGTTGAGGTTGACTAATGTTTAATGTTACGTTATTGAACACAGATTTTCTTTCGTAAAGAATAAGGCTATGATTTGTTACCAGTTTAGGTTAAGCCAAGAATGGTGATGACTGTTTTTGCATGTCTGATGGCTCGTGATTATATGCCTAATATGAAAGAAGCTTCTTCGCCTGTCGAACCATTACTCAATCACGGATAAAATTAATGGAGTGATCTTGTTACTAATCTAATACTTTGCTGAACTTTTACTGATCTACTTAGACGTTCCATTCGGAGTATGACTGATAGCATTAAAGAAACTGGAACTGATATTAATTTATGATCATTGTTCAAATAAATGAGAGTTCTATCTGAGAAATAAATCAGTCATACTGTTTTATTCGGTTGTGAATTTACTTACTGTGGTTGCACTTGTTTTACAATCATTCCTTTCATCACTTAAATGTGACTCTTCATTCTTGGTTGTGTGGTCATCAGGAAACTTCGTTTTGTAGTTTGTCATCATATCCATATTTCCAACATTTATTATTTCGTAATAATTTAATTTGTATCCCGATCATATGATTACATTTTATTTTTTCTACATCACATGTATAGACACCACGAAAAGTATAAAACCTTGAAAGAATTGTACAAGTAAAAAACATGTCCTATTTTACATTTTACGCATGTTATGAATGTGAATCGCTCTACTAGCGACCAGAGTTGAGCATACTAACGTGTCAAATTTAGAATCACCGAAGTAGCACATATATCACCTAACTTGCAAGAACTTTTAAATTCACAGGGGATAATGCGCGATTTTTTATAATGTCTCACCTATGAAGTTGCAAGCTTAGGAAAAGTTCAAGCTCAAGAACGGTGTGCAAAATAGTTTTGAGAGCAGCATACAAAATCCTATACTAGTTCGGTGACAATATCTATGGATATGTAATGTTTCAGCTGAAAAGGAGTGGACATCGGTTATTCTTTTCCACACAAAACGAATGCACGAATAGATTATTTTCGATGCGTGGAAAATGCATGTCGTTGGGTGAATTCTGCATGCTGAAAATATCAAACCGCAGTTCAGAGAAAAAGTGAAGTGCACGATATTTAGAGGTCTCAAAAAATATGATATGTGAATTGTCATCTTCCTTAAAAAAAAAGAAGCAGCAGTTATCTAAATATATAAGTAATGCAGTGCACAGTCTTGAATTCGACAAATTTTGAATTTATTACATAATAACGAGAAGATATTTAAAATTGCAAAGTAAAAAGTGCATCAAAAAGTAAAAATTTAAACTATAACATTTATTACTATAATACACAGAATTAAAGCATTTCTTCCCAGGGAAAGACCATTGCATAAACATGTTGCACAATTTGCTTGTGCCAATCATCATGCAACGCATTAGTGAAACTATCATACAAGTTATGAAAATTGCCATGTATTTGCACCTAATTTCTTTGTTCAGTTCTCTCTTCTTCAATATCGCGTCATGTCTATTACAGTTTTTCTAATATATTTTTGCCTTTGTAACTTTAACTTTTTTGCTGTCTTATGCATGTTCTTATAAATAATAGTTTCAAATCTTGACTAGTTTCGGAGAAGATAAAAGGTTCCGTAAGTTGCTTTATTGTAATGATTATTTCTCAGAATCATTTCTGCTGGGTATTTGAAAATTATTACTTGACAGATTGTGGAGGTGCAAGTTTTATAATGGTTACCAGAAAGACTGTGATAGTGTTAGACATATTTCTTTTCTTCATTCAAATGATCGGGCATGTAGAATGTAAGTCAAGAATGATTTGATTAATTAAATGTCTGACAAGATCAGTCGTATGCCTGAAAGTCAACTTGACCTGTATTAATCAAGATTGCATCATTAGCTTTCTGTCGTTATGTCAAAGAGACATTTCATTTGAGTATCTCTCTGTTTCTTATTGTGGTCACTTGTTTTCGTTTTGTGTGTTCTTTATATCTGATTTTTTCGACTTTAAGTCAGTTTCATGAATCACCAACACTTGAAATCTGCATTTGTTTGTAATTACAAAAATATAATACTTGAATTAGTTATTAACAATAGTTAGGCAGAAATGTATTTTAGGCATAAAATGTCAGAGGCTTCTCATGAAAATGAGTTACTAATGGAGGAAGTGTGTGATGTTCCAGAATTAATTGAAGATGTATCTCTTGGTAAACCTCTATCTTTAGTAAAGGACAGAAATTCGGACATATCCCCAGACATCCAACTTATTGATGTAAGTTCGCATGAATATTGAAGAAGATCGTATTCAAGCCAGGTTTTGAGTCATTAAGAATAGCCATTTTATATTATTTAAAGTTTTTTCATATGTTTGCAGAAAATTTCATCATTTTAACTAATTTAAAGAAATATCAGTGAATAATGGAATTGCATTATCACTGGGACAAATCTACCCACAATTATTATCACGGATTATATACTGCTTCTCAGGATTGCATGTGTACTGTTTCTGTTTATCAGTCCCAACAAGATTCATACAGTAAAATCCTAATTCGTTTGTTAAGATACGCGAAGTAAACTCAAGAAAACGAAATCACGAAGATGTGGAGATGATGTCTACAGATGGAGATGCTACCAAGGAAAAGACACGTAGTAAAAAACAGAAGTCGACTAATTTTGAAGTGCGCAAAATAGCGGTGCCACCCCATCGTTACTCACCGTTAAAAGAGCACTGGATGAAGATTGTTATTCCAGTTGTTAAGCAGTTGCATCTTCAACTGAGGTTTATCAATTATTTATAGTAATATTGACATTTATTAGTAAAATTGGGTTTATCTAAATGAAGTACTATTCAAGTTGGCAAGTATTTTTTTACTCATTAAAGAGAAAACGGAAATGTATTTAAAATGTTGATATAATGCTTTACCTATTTTTGGGAAAAGGGAATTATTTTATGAGGCATCTTATTATTAATTTGATACTACAGTTTTATGAAGTATCATTTAAACTTACTACTCTAAAACTTTTTTAAATTCTGCTGCTACATACAAATTTTCGAAGGTAGAAATAAGCGTTTACTAATAAGCTCTTTTTGTAGGTTCAATCTAAAATCACGAAATGTCGAGATCCGCGCATCTCAAGAAACTGATGACCCTACATCTTTACAAAAGGCTGGCTTTTAATGAAAAAAGTTCAACGTCTTAAAAATCTATTGTTTTTGACAATGGTTCTTATTTCTTTTCATTTCAGGCCGAAGATTTTGTGCGTGCTTTCGTTTTGGGTTTTGATGTTGATGATGCATTAGCACTTATCAGGCTGGATCATTTATTTTTAGAAAGTTTTGAAATCAATGATGTTAAGCCTCTGAAAGGAGAACATTTGTCACGCGCTATTGGCCGAATTGCTGGTAAAGATGGGCGTACAAAGTTCACAATTGAAAACATAACTAAGGCTAGAGTTGTGATATATTGGAATTGTATATAAACTAGTTAAGTGTTTAGTTTCTTGAAAATTTGTTGTGTTAAGAAAACATTAATTATATAAAAAGTTGTTTACAGACGCGTATCGTTCTTGCTGATAGTAAAATTCATCTTCTTGGAGCCTATCAGAATATCCGAATAGCTAGGAACGCAATCTCTTCTTTGATCATGGGTGCAGTCTTTTTTATGCTCTGATCTATATTGATGATCTCTAGGGAAAAAAATTCATCAGCTTATGAAAAATATATGGAGAATAGCTAATTAAGTTTTTCATCAGATTCAACATTTTTTCATTTATGAAGAACTGGAAAGTGAGGAGATTTTATTCATAAGAAATAATAAAGGAGGGATAGTAAATAAAGTTTAGTGTCATTTCATGATGTTTAACAGTTCAATCTTCAAATTGATAAAATATGATGCATTGTTTTCAGGAAGCCCACCGTCGAAAGTATACGGTAATCTGAGAAATCTTGCTAGCCGAGCAAGCGAACGTTTGTAGCTTCCGTATTTTCCCGTTTTTTTGTTGCTGAATTCCGGTATTGTTTATAAAATTGATTTATACGTGAAGGAACGGAGTTGTGTTTTTGAACTTTGCATTGTACAGCGATAGATATCAGTAATAACTGCAGTACTTATCAATCAAATAAATGAAGTGAAATCACAAAAAAATCTTTTCATTGCATTAAGTTGCGTATAAGTTTCTTAGAGTTCTTCTCACTCCTGCATTGCTTTTGGCAGGGTTGCCTTCCAGTCATACAAATGGGATGAATGAGTATTCTTCCATTATTTAGTGGGTGGTACTAAAAACCACTCGTATATAACTTCCAGAATTGTTTCTGGGTTATTACATCATCACAATTATTAACGCAATATTGGTACTGCAGTTTTTAAATGATGGACATCATTGTTTTTGATAACTCTGGCTATTATATTTTTGCCAGTTGTTGTTGGTACTGTAATGCAAGTAATATGATTTGGAGTAATGTTTAGCTATTGAATCGTTTTCATTCGTTTGTAATAACATTAACGAACTAACTATGTTAAATAGCAGTATCGAACATGTGAGAAATTTGGATAAAATTACTGTTGTTAATGAGAACATTGATCTTCATATATTTCGTTTTTGACATTAACCATTTTGTTTTGGGTATGTAATCTGACATCATTAGTCAACAATATAAATCCAGTAATATTTGGTTTGGAATAAATTTTATCCGTAATTCTTGTTCATTCTTTAGTTTTATCTCCTTTTGTTTTCTTGAATTTTTCCATTGTGTTGCTAGTGATGAATGACTGATAATGGTAATATTTTTGTTATCCTTATCAATAGTTTTCATATCACTATTAACCCGATAGTTAATGCAAGAGTTCTTCTATCAACATTTAATTTTATTCATTACTATACTCATGTCACCTAATAAAGCATTAATATTAAGTTTATTATGTGAAGCTGTGTATTTTAAAAGACAAATTCCACTCATTTCTTTTTTGAGTGAGAAATTTTTGCTACAAATTATTTGTAATTTGGAAGGCCGTACACAACGAAGAGTAGTCTTGTTTTTGGTGTATTTGTTTACAGTAGTAAGAAACTATAGAGTTTTTGTCAGTATTGTTTTGCAATTAGTGGTAGTGAGAAGGTGTATAAGTTTGCAACATAAAAAAGTTTTTCAGATGAATTATGTCTTCGATTCGGAAGTTATAGTCTTTAAACCTGTAGTTTACATCTTTAGACTTCAGGATTTAAAAATTCAGCACTCAATCTGCATAGTATTTGTTGTCTGATTAGCCACTGTAATATAAATGTAACATTTTACTTATTTAGTTAGTGTCAGAAAATGTTGCTATGTTTAGTGCTGTTTTTCTCTATTTTGTTTATGGATGTTAGTTTTTGTAAATGTATTTTAAATTTGTATGTTAGGTTACAACTCCTCCATCTACTAAAAACCCATTTACAAGTAGTATTGATTGTGCTCATTTCTTTCGTTACTTCTATTGAACAAAGATTTATTTAATTTCAAAAACCTGTTCCAAAAGTGAATTGTAAATTAAGTTTTGAACTTGTCCGACCAATGATCCAATGATTGATTCATTTTGATTTTTGAGACTGTGTAAAGACATTTTTATTATTTAGAAATACTTTACGTGTTCTATTAAGAAACGCCTGTTGACAAAATAATGTTTGGTACTTGCTTAAATTTTTGAAATTGAAATTAATAGATTCCAAAATAATACTGAATCATTTCAGTAATAAATTGTTTCAGTTATGAAATTTGCTAATTCTTCGCAAACTTCATATGTTTTCTGAATTTCATTGTAATTTTATTCCATGGGATTGTTTTCAAGGCTGAAATGTTGAGATGTCTATCCAATCAGTTTCGGGCTTTTGACTCCCTGGAAATTGAATATTGTGGTTCCCAGGGATATTGCTTCCTATTTGTGTCTCTGCCTACTGCTGTTAATGGATGTGACCATAATTTCCTTTGTGAGGTATGCATTTTTTGAATTAATGTTACTTTTATTTAAAAATTTTGTCGCTAAATGCTCGAGTTGTGCTAAAATGATCATTCAAATTTCTCCCTTTACTTTGGTTACATTTTGACTTTATGATAATCCTGTTAAGTGATTAAAAGTTCCAGTTAAGTCACAATACGTATTGTAACGTTCATCTTGTTTCCGCTGATGATAATTTTGAATGTCAGCATAGTTAATAACTTTTAGCAGTGCTATATTAGTCAGTTTCTTCAACAACAAGAAAATTACCTTTAGATTATAATTAATTGAATTTTGAAACATTTTGTATTCTATCCTTTCTGTTATTCGTGAATGTTACTAGATTAATTACTTGGAACTTTAGATTTCATGTATATAAAATTATATTTCAGTAATTATGACTTAAATTTAGCTACTTGATGATCAGAAAGCTATAAATCAATCCCAAAGCGAGTCATATCATTGTGCCGAGGACTTAATACAGTTCCGCAATAAGCATGGAATCTTTTGTTGTTGTCGTGATGATTTGTGCAATTATCATGAAGCAACAGAATATATCAAAACCATTGGAAAATAAGAAAATTTTCTCAGTTTTGCACTGTAGATTTCTTTTTTTTCAATTGTTGGAAAATATTTATAAGTATCGTATTATAGGTGCGCAAAAGTGATAATAATAAGTTTGAAGTGTAACATTTTAAAAGCAAATCGTTTTCGATACATTCAAAAAAATAAATTGAAATCACTAAATGAATTGTTAGTAAAAATACCAGTGGAAAAAATAATGAAAAAGCAACATGTCAAAGCGAATTTCATCGGAAACTATGAACAAATTCAGTGCAATTGAAACAAATTTACACTTGAGGCATCTTACAGCAAATAAATGAAATTGCACATGCAAATCAGGAATTTGAAACTCTTCTGTATAGAACAAATTCTTGTTAGCAAAGCGCAATTTATGCTGACTAGAGAAATTGGAATTAAGATACTTTCTAATCAGCTGGAAGATGCATGTGGTATCTCCTGTTGAAAATATAATTAATCGTTCAAAATTACGATAAATTTATGGCGGTATAATAATTTACTTCCTACACGCTTGTATGGAAGCGTTACTCCAGCTAATTGTCTTGAATCTCTTCCTCTTGGCGGGAGCTCGTACCAGTTCAAATTTGATCAATCTTTCTTAAAATGTGTTTTACAAAAATTAACATTGAAAGATTATCTGAAAAACTTCAAAATTTACTATTTAAAAACTTCCATCATCTATGGATAGTTACAAATAAGCTTGTACACACAGGATCTATAAAGTGTTACAATCTGTGCGATTAAATTCGTTGACAAGTAAAGCGTTTCTCATTACCATTTGCTATTTCTTTCATTAATCTTGTTTTAGACAAAAAACATTTGCTGGAAAAATGCGTCTTTAGTAAAATACAATCATTTATTTTAGTCTTTTATAATGTTTACCGCTCAAAATGCAAAGACCACCTACGTAGAGAGGACCACACACGAATTTTTCGTTACTACGAAGTTACTCTTTCTGTGCATGCTATTAAATGAAGTTCTGTGGTGGCATATCATATATTCATTTTCTTAGTTCTAACAAAAGAAATTTTGAATTTTTGGAGCAAAATTTCAAAAGAAGTTTTCATGTATTATTTTATTAATGCATGGAAGAAGGTTTAATCGAAATTATACTTCAATGATCATATTAGTTCTTATATTTTGTACTAAAATTAGAAACCTGAAATGTTACTGAAAACATAATCACTAATAAAATGGTTATTTGAAGTGATGTTTGTACATCCGAAATTACTGTCAAACACAAACTTCCATCATCGTCTTCGTTTAATCTAGTTCCTAACTGCAACAAACTAAAATCAAAATACAAAATATGAAATTTTATTAGTGTTACATAAAATGAGTTTTAGACGACTGTATGCTTACAACAATGCTTTCAAGTTGCAGTTTGATTAAGCTAATGTCATGGTGAGTTATCAAATTAGTCATGTTTTGCACAAGTAAAAAAACTTATTTGCTTTCTAATTAACATATTTGGAATGTATTCTCTGCTGTTACATTAGATGCGATGCATAAAGAATATAGCTCGGTGGCAGAACAAAAGTACTCTATAAAACATTTGCTATGGCATCACTAAAACATTCTTTACTTTGAAATATAACTAAATAATTACTATTCAAAAATAATTAACTGCATCAATTTTATGAGATTAGTTCTTGAAGTAGTCAAAACTGATTTGATTCAGACCATTTGGTTCTTTTTGAATAGTTGTGAAGTAATCTCATACTCTTCTTGAAAGCAACTAAAACTAATTAGCCTGGTCGTTTACATCTTTCTTGAATATGCAAATTTTCGTATTAACTAATAACTGATCAATGTTTGATAAATAGTCAATCATACAAATATGTGACAATAATAATAGAAAGAACTGAAGGTAATCGCGCTGATTTATTCATAATTTTCAGAATAGTTTCAAGCGAATTTACTTCCAATAAATCAGTTCCAATAAAATTTGGCATATATCATTGATAAAATAATTATCATTGGTATTATTCAAAAGTGATGACACTGTGTTGCACTCTGTCATCTCTAAAGGGCCGTAGTCATATTTCAGGTGTTATGAGAAGCGGATGAAAATGGGATAAACAGTTTTTGTTTTTTATGTAGTAACGTGTGTCAGTGCTTCAAATTTTTTGATAGTAGTGAGGTGCGTGTGAACAATATAAATTAATCATTTTAGGGTCCTTTTGCGCATTTTTTACTATCAAGTTACTGATCTTGAAATCGCCAATAATGGATGTAAGTTTTACCGATACTTTCATTACGTATTATATATTTCATTTAGTAGAAAGTATTGTATTAAGTCTAATATTTTATTTATTGTTAAAATTTGAAAATAATTAAGGGAGATTATGATATCGTTCGTCGCGAAGAATTCTGTCAGTTATGTAAAATTGCTGGCATCGCACCACAGCTTACTTTCATTGGTGGAGGAAAAATGACAACCGCGCTTGTCAATGGTTTTTTGTCTGCCGGTTTGGTCTTATAATTACTTTTTAAAGTTTTTATGGAACTACTGATATAATTTTTATTCTAGAAACATTATCTTTTGTGATAAGAAGGTGAAATCTTATTTCGATCGAGAAAATGATCATATCAATATTATGCGGAGTTTAATCTTCTTTTCTTCATTACTAATTTTGGCGTTGGATCGTATTCTGGCATTGTCATCGCATTCGCCTCACGTCAGTTCTGCTATGTTTTTCTCTGTTGGCTGCTTTGTCTTCGTCAAATCCACGTCGTTAATCGAATTAGATTCTTTCTAGCGTCTTCTTGAACGCTATCGATTGGATATACGCCTCGGCGTAATCAAATGCTCATATTTTCTTCGCGTCACGATTATGGAAGTTTGTCACTATCCCTCTCAAGTCATCACATACGAATTACTTTCGTTCTGCATTTAATTTCTGCCTCGAGTTTATTGACCAGCAGACATATGTTCACTCTTTCTCGATCTTGACGCATATCAGCCAATCCCGATCAGTTGTGCCAACCTGTATCTGGATTATTTTGCATTGTTTCTTATTGTGGATCATGATATTCGGTCAATCCGCCCGTATTCCAATTGCTACTCTTATTCACGTGTCGACTTTTATCCCCACGGTCTCATTAGCGACGATTTACTGAACCGAATGGCACCGCATGCGTGAGAATGCTTTTACACCACACTTTCTGCAGAGTCCTAAATGGATGCATCGCAGTCATGATGGAGCATTTTCTTCCGAGATGGTTGACCGTCTTCACACGTTCCCTACAATGTGAGTACATACTTTTATTTTCTCAACTTCAAACATATTTCTATCCTGTAGGTGGAAATTCTATTTGCTATTCATGCTTCATCTTGTGGGATAATGTTTCCATAAGGCAGCCACATTGATGAATAGCCATTGAACTCCGCATCTTGTATAGCTTTGATGATAGGATTTCTTTTCTATCTCGTTATACAAGCTCATTTTTTGGACTGCTGATACATTTTTGACGGTTGGATTGTTTACGAGATTGCATCTAGTCTTAAAATGAAATACGATAATCTAAGTACCTATTCCTTTTTTTTGCTTCAAAATCGTCACTTTCCTGGTGGATATCGATGCGGCATCTACAATAAAATTATGAAGTTGGAAAAGCATAAGCTTACTCCTCTGTTCAACTCTGTCGAGCCCACGTTCTAGCCCGTCGTTTGGCAGGTACAGTCTCTCTAAACATACAGGGTGACTGTGAATTCCGTATCTATTCAGTAACTGCCTGACATCATGGTCAATTGCTTGAAAATCTGGTTTCAGTTTGAGCGCCTTAGTATAATAGTTGACTGAACGAACCTATGGCGCTTTCGTTTAATGCTTTCTAAAGTTCTTGCCGCTTAGTGCAGTTTTGGATAGTCGCTTAATTCTCACCAAAATCTTTGCTCGTAGCTTTCTGGGTTCGGTTCGCTACTCCCTTCTTCTATTATTCTAGTGTATTTATATCCTTGAGCTCTTTCCAACAGCACTACCTTATCAGTGCATACCTCAGTATTAGCGGCTAACTTTGCTGGATTTACTTTTTAATCTACTGTTTCAAAGAATTTCTGGACTTCTTCGGCCATCGATTTCATGATAGTCCTCGTTGAGATGGTCGAGAAATCCATGTGTAAAACGAATAGCAGCTGAGAAAGGCTATATTTTTTTCTCCACTGTATTTTTTTATCCTTATGGTTTCCATTCCTTTTCAGAACAATTGACCACTTAAAGCTAATGCTTCTTAGAAATTTGCCGATCCACCCTGGCGTACTGAGCTTTTCAAAACATTTAATCAGATAGTTGTGAATAAGAGTTATCGATTCCACAAGGACCCGCTGCTTTTCGTTTGAGCAGACAGGAAGCTCTGTTCTCAAATTCAGCTTGGGATGGGAAAGTATCATGCACTTCATAACCTGGAAGTATCATGCACTTCATAACCTGGAACAAATTCTTTCAGATATTCATTCAGCCGAATGTTATCATCTCCCATTTCTAAGTTCCACATCGTGGTCCAGAACTCTGATTACTTCTGTCTCTATATTGTGGTTAAGAGACTGTTGGTCACTTTGCTGTAGAACCCTTTTCTGAACAACTCAACTCTGGCATTTTGAATTTTGGTTGCACAGCGAAACGTATAACTTCTAGTTTTACTTTCGTAAACCTCACTCGTTCTGTCAGCATGCTTAGGGCCTCATAACAGTAAGTTTGAGAGCAAGTATGAAATTCGTGCTGCTCATACTCGGACTCCCTCAGGTTTTTACCTTCAGGGGTTTCACCGACCAAATACCGCTCTGTGAGGGTTTTGTGGAAGTTATTCAAATTTATTGTCTTTAAAAAGCTTGCCTTCCACCTCGACGGCTTCTTCCGCTTTGTTGTGTCATCATAACATTGTCATGCTACCTGGAGCTGCTGTCTTGCAATATGGATCATTGATATAGAAGAATTCTATGTGGCATACTCACACGTCGCTTGATTCACACTTCAAGCATAAGCGATTCAACTTCTCCGAGATTACTTTCCGCTTCCACTTTGTCTGGTTTATCTCACGTCTCTAGGCTTCGTGCATCAGCACCAGGTATTTCTCCTTTACATCTAGATAAGCTCTTGTAGCGTGTTTTGCTCGAAGTACGTGTCTTGTGTCTTGACACGCTTCATGGATTCCTCCAAGAACCGTTTCTGTAAGCATAGACAACCTGCAATACTGGTGATCACAAAATTTGCTTGCTTCTTCAGTTCTTGGAGAGTAATTGCACACAAGAACTTTTTAATATACAAGGACCGATACAATGCCCTTCCCTTACTCGGCATTCTTCCAAAATGGTCAATAACTGCTTTCAGCGCTTATCCTAGCCACCTGCTTTGTGAAACCTTGATTCCAAAGACGATTGCTTTAAGCATGATCATTCTGCTGGTTTTTGGTTCCGGTACACTGGCTGGCAGAGTGCTCTCTCACATCGTTCACAAGGCTTTTACAATCTCATCTGTTTTCTCACTGTTTTTTATTATGATTCGAGATGCGGTTTATTTCTGCTCATCCTTCTCATACTTTCTATATGCTGACTGCAAGTCAACATAACATTCTTCTTTGGGGTTCCTAACTTTTTTAGAAAATAGTCTTCTTCTCTATTCATCCCATCGCATCTTCTTACGTTCTTCCCTTGTTTCATTCATTTCAGAAGTACTGCAACAACGGGTTGCATGAGAATAAGCATACTGCTTCTTTTCGTTTTTTGGAGGAGTCCAGTAAAGTGGAATTTCCTTCAGAAACGCGTTCTCAGTCATTAGATCTCGTGTTACTACAGTTTTCACCTACATGTTTGACTATCGATACCAATACGTTTGTTGTTGCAACTGATCGTACTGGTATTTCCCCCATTTATTCTCATAATAGTATTATGATGTTTCAAACTTGGATAATATAATTGACAGAAAATAATACTTAATTTTTTTTTCAATTTTCAATTTAATCATAATTCATGCGTGCATTATTTCTTATACATAAATTGTTCATGATTCATATGCTGTGCTACTGCATTTCATTTTTGTTTTTTCTGCTTTATATTGTGTAATATAATTAGTTCTTCTGATTTACATTATAACTGGGTTATCCAGAAGAAAAGACTGGTAGTTCTATGCAACTGTGTATCATTCAGGAATCATTAAGATGGATGATGTTGCTATTAGTGTGAAAACAAAATCTTCGGTTGAACGGTGGAAGGTTTGTAGAATGCTTGTATTAGAATAATTAAGATGTCAGTCTGTTTGTCATATTTTTAAAAAGTATCTTTAATTTATTTTTTGTTTCAATATATGTGTATAGTTTATTGAGTAATAAATAATTTCAGCGAATGGGTTATACCAATGTATGTACTACCAACACCGATCTCATTAAAACTCACGGTAGAGGTATGTGATGTTTAAGATAGTGATGCATGTATTGATTTGATATTTACTATGAGTATATTACATCTGGTCATGAAATCTTTGCATCTTTACTAAATAGAAGTATCGAATTTTTGCTTACTAGGTGTAGTAAAATAAGAAAAGTGCAAGGAAGTTACTGAATATATAATTTTCAGGAATTGTTTTTTTAGTAGTAAAACCTCATGTACGTATGGCTGTGTTTAAGGAATTAGACAGTAATTCATTTGTTGATACTCCATTAATAGTTTCTGTGATGAATGGAGTTGATGTGAATACACTGGAAAGTGAAGTGGGTTTTTTTTTCTAGAACTTATTGGTTCCATAAATTGGCTTAGATTAATAGATGAACGGCTGAACTATATTTGTAGATTTTTGTTTTAGATAGTAAATCATTGCGTTGGAGAATTATTAAGATTGGACAGAACGATGTATTTTGGGCAATTCATTTGAAAATATTCAAATGGTTTAGTGGGGAAGAAACAGTTTTATTGTCGATATTGTATTGCATCAGTTAAATATCAAATTTAATTTGCAACATATTAAAAATAGTTATCCTCAAACATTTTACTCCATGAAACATTTGAACTTATAATTGTATCATTTTGAATCAAAATTTAGGTGTCACTGAAAGGTTACCCTTCAAATTGTGGATTGGTACGCTTAATGACAAACTTATCCACTTCTGTATGTGCTGGGGCGTCAGTTTTCTGTACCAGTTCATTCTTACAGCAAAAGAAGGTTCTTTATTTCCTGTTTTTGTGTGCTCAGAAACTCGAAAATATTTTCGCACATTTAAGTTTAATTTGAAAGAACGAATTGGTTATTAAGGTGAGTAGTTAGGAAATAATCAAGTGATTTTGTCATTAAACAAGCAAAATAATACAATTTTGTTTTCCACCTATCACTTTGACAATTTTGCAGATTGATGTGATCATGTGCCTTATGCAATATACTGGTATATGTCTGAAAATAGATGAAAATGCTTTCAATGCAGCTACAGCAATTGCTGGGTGTGCGCCAGCTTTTGTTAGTTCTAAAAGATTTGCTCAAACAGCACTTCTAAAAATTTTTTTAAATCGTTCAGCAGCTGAGCTTGATTGTTTATGTTATTTTTCTCTGTGTTTTAAAACACCAGCTCAGAAATTATCGGTTTACTATATTTCTATAAATAGTTATCGACAAATTCATGTTAAAAAAGATTTAAGATATTTTTGGCTATAGAAGCATTGGCTGATGGCGGTGTTCTTGGAGGCATTGACCGTTCAACCTCAATAAAACTTGCTACCCAGGCTGTTATGGTATATACTCAAAAAATTCAAATTTAATCTATCAAGTGACTGCATGTTTGGCAGCGCTTCAACCCAATAAAAAAATGGCTGATATAGATTTCAGATTTGTAGCTTTTGGAAATGACATAGGAACATGATTAATAATGTGTTATTTTTATAGCTTTGAGTACAGGAAAAAAATCAGTACTTATGTTTCTTTATAAATTTTCTGTGTATCAAGTGCTTTTTTTCATTCAAAAAATTAAAGCATGGCATGTTTACATTACGAGTAGATTTTATCAGTGTGTAACGATCATTAATCAGTTTTTTAGTAACGTTATTGTAGGGAGCCGCAAAAATGGTTGCAAACTTAAAAAAACATCCAGCAGTTTTGAAAGATGAAGTTTGTTCTGCAGGGGGCAGTACAATATATGGTGTGAAGGAACTGGAAAAAAAAGGTTTGAGCTTTTGCTCAGGATTTGATTTTTTTAATCAAATTTTCTGTTATCGTTACTTACTGACTAAATGGTTCTTTAAGGTTTTCGATCTGCTCTCATTGAGGCAGTGCATACGTCAACACAACGTAGCTCAGGACTAATTTAAAATTTTACTGATTTATTTGTTAAACATTTCACTGGATTATTTTGACTGACGGGAGTTTATCCTTTTTTTCTGTATGACATTAGACATTGTTAGAAGTTATTAGTTTGAAGTAGCAGTGAGCATGCTCTCTTGCATCGTATGAGAATTGTTAATTTTTATACTGTCTTTGATGTTTCAATTGCTGTGAGTTCCAATAGATGTTTTTAATTTCGGTATCAAAAAGTTTTACGTAAGTATTTTGATATTATCATACAAACCAAGCAAATTTCAAAAATTATTAGAGTTTCCACCTTTATTTTTTACGAAATGAACTTTAAGAAGATGACATTTTCATCAAAAAACATTCAAAAATTTTTAGTTCCACCGACATATGTTGTCAAACCAAAAATAAAATACAGTATGATTTATTTAGTGCAAAATTTTTAGTTTTATTTTCGGACAAATTTGCATTTTTGTTATTGATATGTTGTGTATATGACATTGTCATTTCCAAATATCACTTCGGTTTCATATTAATTTTTGGTTGTGTTGGTTCCCTCTTGTTTGTAATATATGAGTGGGCTACTGTTATGGAAATAAAATATAATTATGAAATTTGCATTATTCATGTAACTTGTGTTGTTGAATGAAACCTTGGTTGTTAATCAACGACTGTTTTCGTTTGACCTACACTTCAACTTTAAACGTGTGTGAATGGTATTTCACTCAGTAGCTTCTTAAGAAACGTGGTTTGGAAGCAGCAGAATGAGATAAAACGCCGTGTTTTAGAGGAAGAAGGAAGATTAAGACGCAAAGTTAGCTTTAACTACATGAGAACGATTAATTAACTCTCTGGCACTTCATATAACGCTAATGATGATCAAATTTTGGTTTTGTAGGAACGTGTATGATAGTACACATGTTTTGTGAGATACGTATATCATGCTAAAAAGGAGTAAGCATACTCAGTTTCTTATAGCAGGAACACTGCCATATAGTAAAGGGATATAGTTGAACGAAAATGAATATACATATCTAGAGAAACAGACTTTATTGGGTAATTACGTATTGGAGTACCTTTTTTGAAGTATTTAGTATTGATGCTAAGGATTCAGTCTTCTTTTACAATATATTTGAAAGCTGAAGTGATGAAAATAGATAATTAGTAACAATTTTAGATTGACGAAGCAGCGTGATATTTGGTCATTTATTCTGACTACAATGTACAATATTTTCATTGAAATGCCATTTTTAGCGTAACTTAAACTATATCAAATATGCTACTAATAGTCAATCATCTCAGAATCAATTTCAATTCGACCAGTTAATCATTTTTAGATTACAATTAAATTAATACAGTTTAATCTGTTAAGAGTGGATTGAATGTGCATAAAAACTGACAGTTTTGTAAAATTTTTCTTCTTGCATTACTCGTTACCAATTCAAGTATCATTAATAGAAAGAAAAGAAAATAGCCTTGCATTGCAAGTCACGAGAACAGTCTAGACTGCTTCATACTAAATATGAAGAAAAAACAAATAAGACCATCTATGATCACTGCTCTTGAAACAACTTTGGAAACTTTTGCTAGCAGCCATCTTTTATAAATGATATACTAAGAGAGACATATATGTAATATATGTTGTCTTATTCATTCATTTGTCAACAACAAACACCTACATAATTATAACTAATCGAGCAATCTAACAACCAACCATCTATCTATCTATTTATCTATCTATCTATCTATCTATCTATCTATCTAACTCTCTGTATTAAAAATTACCCTAGCTAGTCTCGTCAGTGTTAGATCACTTTCAATAACAGCCGTAAAAGATTACTCAATTTTGGTTCTTGAAGTTAAAAAAATACCAAGAAACAAAGAACAAACATCAAAATTTTCACTTTAGTGGTGAAGTAAATTTTCCTCCTTTATCAATAATCATACTTTTAAGATAAAATACGTAAATTGAGTTTAATATTATGTACTTTAATCATTCTGCATCACATATTCCAGATATAATTTCTCTTTTTAAGCTGTAATTTTAATTTATAAAAAAAATTGATGAAATTTTTATATCTCATTTTACTTCAGTGAATCTTTTTTGCCCTATTTTATTAGAAATTCTTGCAATGATGCAAGCAAATGATTGCATAATTTTTGAAAGTAATATCAATTCTTATTATAATTTTTGTAAGCAAAAAGTTTGAGTGAAAAAGATATTTTGAAATTGAGACTTTTATTGTATGAATACGCTTTAATTTTGCTATTGATAGTGCAGCTGTGAAGATTGTCCCTTCTTTTTTTTAGCAAATTTACTTAATTTCATTTCTTTTTATACTACAAAGTTATGCATCGTTTGGCTTTAAGCAGATTTTTTGAATGCTTTAATTATTAATTTCTGCTTTTATCATGACTTTTGGTATAAATTTGATAATAATTTGATTACTTTTATGAAAGTTATAAATGTCAAATTATGATTTTCATGTGAAAATTTTATGCATTCCCAGCTTTCATGTTTTCATTCTATTTCTGCTTGACCTCTTACTCTTTCCAATCTTCATCATAATTTTTTATCAGCAATCGCTAAATGCCTGCAGAGAAAAATAAAAAGTTTACTCACATTAAATACTATAAGAAAATGTAAGAATTGTCTAAAACATTTGAATATTCTAATGAGATTATTTTTAAGCATACTTGAGAAAATGCAACAAATTTTCATTCCAAAATTGTGGAAAAATTCAAGAATAATACAATGAAAGATTCATATTGTTAATGTACTGTAATCCTGTTTTATCTCCATCTTTCTTATGTACGTAAATTTATTTATTTTTCATATTAAAAACATTAAAAAAATTTGTTGTTTAAAATTAAATAAGATGAAAGATTATTTTAAAAATTAAAAATATGTGACTTAATTGCAATTTGTAATTCACAGTTTTATTTAGTGATAGACTTTTTTAATTTATTATTTTCGTAGTCTTAGCAACTAAAGTGAAAACTAATTTTTAAAAATTCGTTCTAACGTCGTAATAAAACGTTTTTTTTTTAACCAACTACAAATACATAACGGTAAAGTATTGTATTTTCTCTCGGTATTTCTTTAAATATTTATCAAAAATTAAAAGCAAACGTAAATGAACAAAATATCATAATTTTTATTGTGATTGATAAACGCTACTGTAACATAAAAGTGATGCATCTAAAAAATTTTATTGAATTTAATGTTTAAAGTAACTAATATTTAATGAGAAATGTAGTGCTCAAGGATAGCATAATTAATTCATAAAATATGGTTTTTGTTACAAATTCTGATATAAGTCTTGTTTTTTTTAATTACTTGAAGTTTCCAGAGAAAAAAAGTTACTACTTCTTAAAGTTAATAACCTCACATTAAACAAGTATTTTATTTAATAGAATGGGAAAAATAAAAACTGTTATTGATACTTTCTAAATAATTTTTATTTTTTTAACTGCAACTTTGATCAGGTGATTGCAAATAGTTAATGACTTTTGCTGATAGTTACGTAAAATAATCAATAATATTGTTTTTCATATTTGTTGATATTGATGTGTTTGCACGCGTGGGTAAGCAAGAATCAATTAACATTATTTTTGATGTTTATCTCTGAAAGTCCTTTTTTTCTCAACTGCATTGTCGCTAAACTTATAAAGTTATTAGTTATAAACTATGAACACATCTAACAAATATATTTATAAAACTTGAAGCCAATGTAATCATTATTAAAATAATAAATTGTTTCTTTGTAATCATTATTAAAATAATAAATTGTTTCTTTTGATATTTTATATCATGCAAGTTTTGTATTGCTTATCATACTCAGGTTTATAATTATAATATTTTTTATAATTATAATATTTTTTTATTTCATTATTCTATCCTTTAAACATTTTATAAAACAATTTGTGACTTGCTTTGTATGCAACATCTATTTTTTCTATTCATTTCAATAAAAAGAACTTTTACTTTTTACTTAATTTCATATCATTTTAATAAATTTGAAAACAACATGTAATCAAAAAAAAAAACTTTATTTAAATAAAAATCGTTTATTATAGTTTATTGTTGAAAGAAATAATAGTAACCAGAATACATAAACAATCATTTTTTTAAATTACTTCCATCTGTCAATAGTTTATACTCATTAGACTCAAGCATAAAAATATTTTTATCTCGACATTCTTCAGTGACAGAGAAGTACTTCTAAATTTATAATATTAATAACATATTACTAAGCTAGATAAAACTGCTTACGAGCTAGGGCATTAATTGTGAGACGTGTAAATTAAGTGAAAACTAAATTAATGAGTTATACCAATGAATTAGTGCTTGCCTCATTTAAACTTTATGCATTTCTAACACAAAAATTTTTTGACGCTCATAACTGTTGCTAAAAGTGAAATTTATAAATTAATAGAAACTGAACTTTCAATATTTTTAAACTTTTACTAATATAATTCTACCTAATATTAGTTATTACAAGTCCAACATTTTTAACCAAACTATCATTGATGAACGAAGTACTGGTCAGCATGCATTACGTTTTGATGCGATTACATACTACTTTTATTTCATTCTTCTAATCACAATATTTTTGTCAGAAGAAGGAGAAGATAATGAAATAAATTTTAAAAAAAGCAGTAATAAAAAATTGAATCATTTTTGTACAAAGTATGAATGCAAAACGGAAGTGCTCAAATAACAATCCATCATTATTCATTTCTTTAATCTTTACATACATTCTGATCATATATGAAAATCATATTTGTTATCCTTCAGTAATGTAATACGACTAACTATATGAAGAATTCTCGAAAAAGAAAGAATCAATTTTCAAATATCTATAAAAGGGCAACGATTTTACAGTTAGATACGGAAAAAATATCTTACAAGAAGACAAGGATTAAAAAGCATAAAATGAGGTACTAATGCGTGGTACCAACTGAAAGATTTTTTATTACTGTACATACTTTCATTTATTTATAATATGGACCAAAA